AGCAACATACTAAACGATCGGGTGCTAAGCTAACGGAATGGGTCAGGTCAATCACATCATTTTCCTAATGATGTGATCCCGTTAATCAAATGAAAACTCATGTCAATGGCTAGGAAACTTAACCATCTTTGATCAACGAGCTAGTCAAGTAGAGGCATACTAGTGACACTCTGTTTGTCTATGTATTCACACATGTATTATGTTTCCGGTTAATACAATTCTAGCATGAATAATAAACAGTTATCATGATATAAGGAAATAAATAATAACTTTATTATTGCCTCTAGGGCATATTTCCTTCAAAAAGGAGCTAGGTGTTATGGATTCTTGGCAATATGCAGTGTCGAACAAGTACTGGACTATTGGTAGACATCTTAGTACATGCCACCTTTTATGTAAGCAGATGTGTTCTCTTAGCCTACATCTCCCATAATAGTTACCTTGATTCCTTTACAGCTGGCTAGCTTTTACCCAGAAAAAATTTAACATATGAGCATACAACTTTTTTCACCATGGAAAGAGGGACGCGCATTTTACTTTACCTGTATTGAAGGGTAATATTCAACAAAACTTGTAGAAAAAATGTTTAGGCATACAATAACATGGACGGTGGAACAAAATTACTAATCTCAGTGCAAAGTCTTACCAGCGGCCTAAATGCATAAATCTGTAGCAATATTGCTTTCTACTCAATTTCCCGGCATATTTTGGAACTGCAATGAGCATCATAAGTAATTATAAGGGCAGAGGAAACCAAAGAAAATAAACCTTTGTGATATTAAGGGCAATTTATAAGGTTCGCACTATGGCTATGGCATGACATGGTAATTACCGCTGGTACTCATGAAGTAGAGAGCAAAAACATCCACACCTAATTTTATAATCTTCTCGCAGTACTGCTGCTGCTAATGATATCTGAAATGGACCACGTGATTTGATAATGTACAAAAATACAGGATGTATAAAAATAAACTTTCGACATTGACATATATTGCACCGAAATTCAAGATGCGCGACTATAGCATATTGGACTTGATAATTTTTCAACTCCAGCATACATAGAGGAATTGTTTTGCTTTCACGCACTTAATTAGGTAATCAGTAGAAGAGAGAAAGAAAAGTGTACGAAAAGAGTATACGGTATAATTATCGATCGGAGCAACTCTAGAATCATATACTTGCTTGAACTATGTTGGTGCTCTTTGCAATCATTTATAGCAAAGGTTCAAGTCTACTTCTGATAAATTGAAATTCAGAGTGGTCAACTTCTTGTATGCAGCACCGAAACATGATCACTAACAAACTGTTCCTAATTTTTTTTGTTGGATCCTTCCACATAGCAAAATTGAAAAGAACATAACTAAAAAGATTCAAAACACAACTATTTGGATGATAGCATCATGCTACTAAAACTGATAATACAATCATTATATTTTTCTTCAACCAATTACATATCAAAAAAATCATGCCATTTCAAAAATTATGAAGGAGAGTTACTATACCTAAACATCAATTCCCTCCATAAATACATCATTTGGCCTATGACCAACGTTTGACCTGCAAGTGGATATAGAAGAAAACTCACGAATCCATGAAATATTGTAGTGGGGTGAGTGAAACATGGGGAGAAACAAAGTTGTATTTATGATGGTGATTTTGCTGGTTACATAGGAGGATGGGATTTAACATCAACGTTCATAGGAGAAGAAGACAACATCAGTCGTCGTGACCTGCAGATCAGGACCCAAACCAAATTCCTTGACTCTGCCTGCGGTGGTGCGTTTGTGCCGGTTGTACACCTCCAGCCACAAGGCTGATGGTGGGTGTTCACCGGCGGTGACGTTCCACCTAGATGATTGGCTCCAAGAACTGGGGACAGATCGGTACCACGCCATGGTGGTAGGCCATAAGACATCGCCGAATCCGCCTCCTTTTCTTGCTTATCAACATCAAACCCTAAGCTCGACAACCGCCTGCTGATTGGAAAGGGGATGCAAGATTGAGGGTCACTTACGGATCCAATCAAAGATTTACAGTTTTGCTAGAACTCATCTAGCTGAGTTCTAGTTATGTCTCATTCACCTTTTATAGCCATTAGATGTGATGCTATAAGATGCGTGTGTGCTGACATGGGTTGTATATGTTCTTGTTTTCCAGATGAATGAGACCAAATTATATCTCAGCTAGATGAGTTCTAGGCACTCCCAAGATTTATGCACATCATAGGGTATGGTGGTTTCTGGCCGGCACAAAGGGAAGAGTAAAAGGGATGGGAGATTGCGGCGCTATGGCGTTGGGAGAGGATTTGGCTTGGGAAGAGGATTGATCACAAGGAGAGAAATTGCATTCGGTGGAGTCCTGGAGAGATTGAAGACACTGGCCTCGTTCAGTCTACGCTCTATGGGGCCCATCAACCAGGTTGCTAGAAAATTGTTACGGGAGCAGCATCTCCATCGACACTGGCCCCCGTCGCGCACCAGAGTTGAATCGGACGAGCATACACATTCATATCGCGGAAACGGACGGTTCGAGTGGCTGATGGCCTAACAAGGCAAGAAAAATGCACGGTTATAATGTATCTAAATAACTCGCATGGCTTCGTTCTCTAGACGTAAAGAAAGATCCATTAAAACCCTGAGTTGATGAGAATGTGATATTGGGACATAAAGTTTCATAGTACCATTGGACCCACCACACATAATTGGTTGAGGCTCAAGAATATCTTTCAATATCTCCAATGCATCAAATAACTTGTCCTAGTTTTTCAGTTTAAGAGGAATCTTGGCACCAATATCATTGGATAAGTGGATCAGATCCCTACTATGTCATATCGTAGACAAGCTTTGTGTTCCTACTAGGTGTGGTAGCTATTTCATGAAAGTCTTCGAAACATACCTTAGTGGCTACATCCACCAACCATTATCTCAAAGATAATGTTGCTTGTGTTGTCCGGGTGCAAACAGGTTACATGGTAAGCAATATCACTATATTGCTCATCTTGCAAGTCAAATCATGTGACAACCTTCTTGATTTGTTTATGAAGTCTCTACCAACTTCAACATTCCAAAAACATGTTCATGGTTCAAAGCACCATATTATACTCTTTTTTCCTTTATGAGTTTACTTCTGCAGGTTCTTATTAAGGTTTTAATTGAGGTAATATCAACATGAGATCATATGTCATACTTTCTATTTTCCCAACCAGGGGTTTTAGGAGAGTATACACGACATATTTATTATGCTCTAAACTCTATGGATTTTCTCATATTGAGTTAAAAAAGACAAATATTATGTTATGTCATGTTATTTTCTTCTTATATTTTTCCCACTGGGTTTTGAAGAAGTTTTCAATGGCATATCAGATCCCACTCTTTTCCCTTATGAGCTTTCTCTCGAAGTTTCTCATAATAGGTTTTTAACGAGGCGACATATGCAATACTTTCTATTTTTTTCCACTACGGTTTTTAAAGGAAAGTATACAAAGCATATTTAATGTTCTCCAAACTCACCAATGAGTTTTCTCCTTCTTCAAAGATTTTTCTCATGTGAGTTATCAAAGAGACGATAATCATAACATGTTGCATCATTTTCTTCTTACTAATTTTCTCACCCGGTTAAAGGAGTTTTAGTAACATATTTGCTCTATTCTCATATTTTCCCACAAAGTTTTTCGGGGAGACTCAAGATTATACAAAAGATTTCTCAAAATGGAAGATCGATATAGAAGAAGCTTTCAACGATGAAACATTAAGAAGCGGTGTTGTACAAGGGGAGTGTTAGGAATTAATTAGTGGATTAATTAGTACATGTCTATTGTTAATTAGCACATGCTAATTAACAAACAATTATTAGCAAAGGGGTGTGTCCAACCCCGAACAGTCGCTTGCCAACATGCACGTGTTGTGGAGGGATGCCTCCAAACAGACACCTCTATTGCCAACAAGCACCTGTTGTGGAGGAATGCCTCCAAACAGACACCTTCTCCCCACCTCTTTCAGATGTATATATACTTAAGAATCAATAGAACCAGGACTAATCATCCATTCACTTCCATTCATTTTTGTTTTACTGTAACACTAAGGTTGTCCATAATTGAAGTATCATACATGTCAACAAGACAATTTTAATGAAGTGACCCCTCAACCAACTCCTAAGTAGGTTGTACTAAGTTGTCCGCAATGGAAGTATCATACATAACTAGACAATTTTGATAATGTGGCACAAAAAAGAAGGCTTCACTGCATGCAAAAAATAGAAGGTTCTAAGTGCTTGCAAATATTTATCATGAGATCAAATTTGTGGAAGTTGTGACCAATGAAACAAAATTGATGCTCCTAAAATGCTACTTTCAAAAGCATTTTGCAGCACTCCTTTTTTTTGCCACACCTTCAACTAATGTGATCTCATGACAAAAATTTGCAAACACCTAGAACATTTATCAAAGTTTACCCAAAAGAAGTTAGAATATTTTCTTTTTTTCATTTTTACGGTTTATCAAAGCTCATTTGAGCTCAAGAGTACTCTCAGATTTTGAGTTCTTTTATCTATTCAAATTTTAAGCTTATTTTGACCAGCTGTGATTAACTTTGTTCATGAAGACCGTTTTGCACTGCAGATAGCGTCCACTGCCGCAAAAAAAAAAAAGCAAAGCACTCAGACTGATCGGACAGCTTGGAACGAAACTAGCGAGAATCAAATCACCAGCGTTGTAGATGGTCCCTGACAGTTAATATAAACTTGTGTTCGCCTCTTCTTAATTGAAGAGATAGTCCAGGGTTAAAATGTGCACTCTGCATAAATATCCATGTAACAACTAATACACGACACAAAAGTAGGCAACGTTCCTTCCAAATCCTGGTACAATAATGTCGAAAACGACAGCAATGCTCACATGCGAATATAAAAGTTTTGTTCAGTAATAAGCAGCAAAAGGATGACCACCGCCTCCGCAAACATGGGGTATAAGGAAATACTCATTTTAAAGCAACAACCATGCCTCTTTATTCTTCCTCCTCTGCCTCCTCAAGCCATTTGACGAAAGGCTCCAGAGCTTTCACGAAAGATTGCCTGCCGAATGATTAACTACAGTTACTAGGAGCTTCATCAAGATAAAATGCTATCAATATTTCTAACAGATGGCTTCTCAGTAACTAGTTACCTTCCTTTTTGGTTTGAACCCTTGCGGAACCAAAGAAGTATGGTATCTTCAGCTAGGACATCTTGATCATACAGTGATCTTATAATTTCAGGGAACAGCTTCATCAACTTAGCATCCTCATAACACTGTGTCTGGACCTTGTATATGAGTTCCAGTTCTAGCTTTCCACTTGTGCAAAATGCATTCATAAGACCAGCCCAAGCATTCACCTGTAAATGCAAAAGGACAACACAACAAATAAGATGAATCCCTTTCAAAATAACATCACTAGTAGTTACTCCCTCAAGTGATTTAAAACATCTTACAATTGTTTAGAGGGACTACATGCCTAACTAACAAGCTACAGATGCCCTAAGCTTATTATCCCATGACAGGCCACACTTGTTATAGCTTTCACAAGAATGGAATGCTCAAATTCACTCTACCAACTTCCAAAGCAACAAAATAACCAGCCCGCACTCAATGCAAGAAACTTAGAAGCCTATCAACAGCAACAAAAATCCTTGACATGTCTTATATTTTCAACTTCTATGTAACTTGCCAGAACAAATTTACCGTTTCGTAAGGACATGTGTAAGCAAAAAAAAAAATCCATAGCACATGGGACAAGATCAACGGAGTCCAACAGCATTGTTTGGATGTGAGGTAAGTAGCATTGTGCAACGCTGAAAGCAAACTGAACCCAGTATCCTGGTGTAGGAAAGCTTATTATGTTGTTACTTGAGATGTACTTCTTTCCCTAGGACTTATGAGCACTTTCAAGAGAAAAACATAATTCCAAGACAGATCTTACCTGCCTAAGTGCTGAATTAGAATTTTGCTGCTGGTTCTTTCCAGACCACTGAACAGCCTCCATCAGCACATCCCACAGCATGCGAACAACCTCTATATCAGGAAATTTAGCATCTTTAACCTGTTGCTTGACAACCTCAGTTACTTCAGATATTTCAGCTTCTTCATTGATCATAGTGGTCAGAGTTGACTTTATCTCCTTGAGCTTAACTTCAAACATTTTCTTGGTATTGTACTCAACAAGGCTAGTCAAACCTTCTTTGCTGATGCAAAATAGTAAAAACATCAGCCGGTAACAAAATAAACAACAAAACTACACTCTCATGCAAATGAGAACATGAAGAAACTGAATCAACAGAAACAGCGTCTAAAAGCTCACGTGAAATGCTCAGACAAAGCCTCAGAGGTTCTCTTTCCTGATGGAAAAAATTCAAGTAAATTGTCCTCCATTTTGCCTTTCTTTAAAAGTGCAATCAGATCATCCAAACTATTTTCCTTCAGATATTCCTTGAAGAACTCAGTAATGAATGAAAGAACTATCCCTTTGGCAACAAGATTGTCCTTAAGCAATGGCTGAAAGACAGTTTCAGGTGGCAGACCTGATAATTTCTGAGAAAATGCAAGTGCCGTGAAAATGGCAAGTTTCTGTCTCTCATTTTCTTCAAAGAACTCCAAGGACTGGAGAAACTTTCGCATAACATTTTCAAGACTTTTTATTAAGAAAGGCCTCCTGCGCAATGTTTTCTGAATAAAGAGGACATAAGGTAATATTGCTTCACGTTGTGCTGCACAGTCAATGAGAGAATAGGGGTGGCGCTCTCCCTCTTCTTCGGGTTTAATCGTACCAGGCTGAGTACGCACACCAATGAAAACAACCTGCATTCATGCATTCACTCAAACATTAACCTTTCTGATTTGCATGGAGGGGGGCTACTTATTATAGGTATGCCACTGTGCAAGAGTTAATGCTGAAACATGAGTCAGTTTGAGCATATAAAAATGGGTAACTGAAAATGAATAAGAGGAAATCAGAAGTAGAAATTTCAGATTGCAAAATGAAAAAGGAAAACAGCAAAAACAGCAAACAATAACTTGATCCACTGTCTACCAATCTTCTAGCATGCAGATAACGAAAGAGTACTCGTGTCGAACCTTTTGCTTCACATATAATAATCAATTCTTTTGTAAATAAAATGTATGCTTAAAAAATTGAAAGTAGTGAATTGTGCACTTAAGACAATTTAAATTTTAACTAGACAGAATTCAAAGCCATTCAATTTTAAAGTTTGACATGCATATTCGGAAAATGTTAGCATGAAGATTGCAATTTCATAAAGGAGTTCCAAATCTTACACAAGCCAACTGTAAACAAGCATAAAATTCAGAAAAGGACACTTTCAAACAATCTCAAGACTCTTGCAATATATACTGTAGAAACAAAGATAATCAGTGTAGCTCAATTAAGCGATCCATAAATGTGGATACTGGGAGAAAGGCATGACCATATGCAAACGAGGCATACATGAAAAATGTTCAATATAGAAACTGGACCATGCATACCTCAAAGAAAGTGTCACCGTAACGTGAGAAGTTGAGATCTGATGACTCTATACTTTTGGCAACAAGTTCCTGCAAGACATCACTTTATTCATATTGACTGCTCAGGGTAGAAAAATAAGATAGAAGGCAAAGGCGTTTTTCAGATTCATAACATTAGTCATAGATACATATTAGATGTTAACTAAGATGAAAAAAGCAACGCCCTAGTCCAGCTAATCAGCCTAATCTTCAACAAGGACCCCGCTTTTATTCACTATATGCAACTCTTCCTTTATCTCGCACAAATCTATGATATGTAAACAAAACTGTTGCATTGACTGAACTGGAAGTTGACCATATTTAATGAAATAAGTTGTCAAAGAGAGAAGCACTGATCGATTTCATTTTCAATTGATAGGCACTGAAAGTCCTTAGCTAATTTACCAGGCAAAACTCCAAAGGTGGATTTTCTAAAACTACCTATTGCAAATAGAAGTAATCCTGAGATGTCCCAATGTTTCAAAAAATGCTAACTGCATATATCTCACGAGGAAGTAACATTTTGATGTTCGACAATGTTTCCCAACTGCAGACGCTTACAACTTACAAGCATTACAACAGGTGAAATTCAGTAAGTTAAACAGTGGCTAACCAGATCTCCAGCATTATCCAGATAAATCTGGACAATTGCATCAGAGAACGACGAAGGGTCCAAAGGAGCTGCGATATTCCGCTTGCGGGTCTTAATCCGCTGGCCTCTGCAGTATTTTTTACATAAAAAATTATAATGGTACACACGAGATAACTACGTAAAGAATTTGCAGGCAATAACAGATAGGAAGTAAATCAGAATCATATTATAATAAGATAACTACGTAAAGCAAATATCGTTCAACAGGAAGAAAGTTTCTTATGTTAGTGTGCATAGTTGGAACAACATAAAAAGATATCAAGACAAATGCAAACAACACTATGATATTGTGAACACAAATTTGTATAAGTGTCGCATGAAATGTTGATTAGGGACAAACCGAGTTAGAAGAACTAGGGTTTGAGGCCAAAGCACTCCGGCCAAAAAAATAAAAAAGAATGCCACCTTTTATTGCACAAGGCGTGCCGTACTGAAAAGTCAGAAATCCATAACATGCAGACAAAAAGTATCGGTGAAATGAATTTATTAGACACATATGAATAGCTGGGCAGACACATGTCCGGTTGCATCACAAATCAACAATACATTAACTAATATGATCTCAGCATCGATGGTGAACAAAGGCACGAGTAAACACAGGAGTATTACCCGAGGGTGGGCTTCTCCTTCGAGCTGCAATGAATATTAACACAAATTAGAGCATACCAGGAAAAAGTGATATGGAAATAAAATAGCTAGAAATTTCGTCTCGGCGAATGAATATAGTGGCCTACAGATTCACTATTGTGCCTGATTGGTTTCTACTTGTTGAACAAAAAGATCACAAAGAGCCGAGATACAAAATGTTGTAAATTAAAATTACAACCACAGGACTTTTACTTAAGGGATATTTGGTTTGATCCACAGTTTGCCTTGCCATGGCTATCTGTAGGCACGCCACAAGCTTTTAGGCATTGATCCTTCCCACAGTTGTGCTCTGCTGCACTTTATTATCCATATCCCCATGTGTGAGTCAGTGTTTTGCCAACTTGCTTAGTCATACACACTACCTAAGCTTCGCTGTGGCAGAGTTAACGTTGACAAAATCAACGAACATGCCCTTACTTCCTACTTGTCAATCCCTCCTAAAATGCCTAGATCTAACATACCAGTTCGTACAAAGATATCTGAGGCTGCTTGGTTGGCAGGTAAATTGTCGGCAAGCCAACAACAGTTGTCCTTCACTTGGTTTGATTCCACATTTGGCAATTCGCTTGCTAACATTATTTTACACTAGCACATATGCCCGTGTGTTGCAACGGGCTAATAAAGATATATACATTATTCTACCGGCAAACTTGATCAGGGACCCTATACTAATTTCATAGAAATTTTGTTAAAATCTTCAACTAAGTCAACAATGCATATAATACTCGCATTTAATCTTCGATAGAAAACACAGAGGTAACAAACTCCTATAACTGTAGATAAAACTACAGTGTATTATAGTCTTTGCTAAAAAAACGAAGGAGGCTAGTTGTTAAAAACGGGTTCTCAAAGATCTTAGGCGTTGGTGTGAGGCAGTCTCGGTGGCACCCTATCCTTTACACGTGACAAGGTTATCTCCGCTCTCAATCCTTGTTGTCTGCAGGCAGGATCAACACTCCACAGCTCAGAGTACACAGTAGGCAGCCTTCTCCGGTGACAACTGGGTGTGTGCGTTAATATGTTGTCCAGCTGTATTTTTTTGTTTTATCTTTCATCTGCTTTGTAAGAGGTTTCTCTCATCACCTTGTATCTGTTCGGCCCTTGGCGGGGCGTTCATATATATAAAGCGAGGAGGAAGCCTGTTTCAAGAGTTAAAACAGGTGATGTTTCTCAGACACATACTCTTCTGGTCTCTTTTTTAAAAGTTTTCAATCAAGCCCATATGTTCTCGATATTTTCCAATTCAATATGATTCCCTGCTATCCATTCATCTAGCACACAAGCAGCAGCTTATCAGAAGGCAATTAAGAGCAGTGCAAGCAGTTAAGCATGGCAGCAGCAAGTTAGGAGAGCCTCTTTTGGTTGTAGGGCGGCATTCACAAAACACCACTTGATCAATACAAAAATAAGGGAAGTTCGTACAGTTTTCACAAAATTCAGCTGGCTCAGATGGTTAGCGGGTAAGAATTTACCACTCCAGGTCACTAGTTTGATTCCCACAGCTGCCTATTTTTAGCTGATTATAGGATAGTAATGCTGTTCTGTCTGGGCCTTGGCCTGGGGAAAGCTGCTCAAACGGAGTTGTGCAGCGTTGATATGCAGGCTCATTAGCAAAGCAGCGCGGGGAAGCAGACCCATTAACGCGGATGTAACCAGCAACATACGAAAGGCATGTTGAGGTGGTGGACGAAAATTTGCGTTGTATGAAAGGCAGGGTAACGGACGAAAATTTGAGGGAAGAAAGAATCCTCCCTTCAATATTATTATTATTAGGTATAGATATTGGCTTCCTTGTCGACCTTTAGTTGGCTTAGGTACAAAATTTAGCAAATATTGCTTACCAACTATGGAGCGTCTACTTGAAATATACACGTCAAGCAAAGGCAAGAAGCTTTCACCAATCCAGGACTCTTTGCTATAATAAAGATAGACAAAGCAACAAAATTCGGAAACTCATTCGTCACAACTAAGATGAGCAGATTTAGCATACAAGTCAATAAAAAGATCACAATGAAATGCAATAGATCAAAAAAATACAGGTTTTCACCAATAAAGCCCCATGTTGTTATAATTAAACCACAGCAGTTAACATTACGAAATAATCAGTTGATATGAAAATTCATATGCTCACCAAAGAAATATTGATACGGCACATACAAGCTCGGAGTTGTACAAAGGGGGGACCAAATAAATATTTATCGAGAGAAACGGAGACCAGTAAGAATTGTCAAAATAAGAATTCATGTAACAGATGACCTTGCTTCAATTAATCCAAGGCCCAAAAAAGTAACAAGCACCCCTCAAAAAAAGTAGCAAGTAACATAGAACAATCACATGTGTCCATAAAAAATTGAAAAAATATTCATCTCAGATAATAATAATAATAGTGGCAAACCAATTACTGTGCACCAAGGAATCAAGGAATCTAAAGAACTGATAAGATCATAGCAACTTCATCCAACGATTCACAACATCAAGAGATCATCAAATCCCTTCTTAACGAGGAAAATCAAGAAACCCTAAACGTCGGAAAGAAAACTCCCGTGCACGTTTCTTAATAAGCAGGAAAACACTTACCTCGCACGGATTAATAAACAAGAACCTAACCGCGCAAAATCAGTTGGATCTGATCAAAACCAAGTGTGGAATACTGGAATGTCGCGCTAACACCATTGTTCGCACTCCCAGAATCGATTGCTGCATCCGAGAGCGCGAAAATCATGAACTATCGCCACCAAGCACAACCTACTAATACTAGCACGCTAAACAGGACGAAGAGTCCATCCCTCCGATCCAGGCAATCCTACGAAGCTCCGCGGATCCATCAGCCATCAAACAAGGAAAGGCAGAGATCTAGTAAGGCGGCGATTGAGTCCATTCATACCTCATAAACAACGATCTGGCAC